ATGATTAGAATAATAGAGCAAAGCAGTTCTTTATGAAAATCAAGAGACATTTCACGATAGAGAAAGACAATAACTGTGGCAAAAACAATACTTGAGAAACAGACAGTAATTATTAGGTCACCATATGAAAATCCGAAGAGACAATGACTAGATGACTTTTAGGAGAAAAATGTTGGAAACCAGAACAAAGGGTATTTTTTTGAAACTGGCTTAGTACTGCTGATGAGTGAGGATGACAGCTATCGCGCGGTGTTTTCGCGCACTGTGTAACAGACTAAACAGATTCAGATTTCAGATTCAGATTTCAGATTTATTGTTTGAGGATAGAAGGCTTGGAGCCTATGTTAATCCTTTTCTAGTAAACTTCTGTGGTTGTCCAAACCCTTCTTGAACGAATCAACTGAGGTTGCAGACACCACTTCTTCTGGGAGTCGGTTCCAAGAGTTTATGACTCTGTGTGAGAACCAGTACTCAACAGCAATATGATTTCTTCTTGGCTTTTGAACTCTCCTGCTATGTCCTCTAAGGTGTTCCGACCTGGTGGGAAGGATGTATTAGTAGTACTTTAGAAAAAAATGCCGAGTGGTTTTTAATACTAGTCGACAAAAAATCACAAGAAGGGTCACCTTTTCATTGGTTGATCAATACAGAGTTACCAATGTCAGACACATATACCAGTGTCACACTATTTAGTCCTTTCGGGCTGACAGAATTCGGTCATTCAACTATGCAGTGCAGCGATTGATGAAGGAGACTGACTAGTGCGGTGAAGCTTGGAGAGATGTTAGATTTTTGGATGTAATCTTCAGAAAGCTGTTGATTGATGTCTCATGTTAACTATATGACTTGACCCAAATGTGCAGTGGACACAAATCACGATTAGAAATATTAACAGCTCACAATGCGTATCAGGTATGTCTACACGGGAATGCGAAGAACAATGCCAAAATGAAAAAGATTTGTTGTTAACATTTAAATCATTTATTTGAATAACACAAGAACAACAGTTGTAAGGGACTGTCTACCGAACTCAATAACATGATAAATATGCAAATAAAAATGCAAGTCATTGAGACGATAGTGTAACAATATATTGTCAGAAAAGCAGTAATGAGTTATGTTAATAAAAAGGTTACCTGGATATCTTGTTAAAGTCCACTGCTACAAATTATTAATATAATCCAAGGAAGTGCTCACTGTTGGAATTGTGTCTACTGGTAGAAGCTGTGTGCCGGTTGTAGAGTTGTCTTCGGATAAGGATAATGGATTCCTGCAATAAATCCAAAATATACAACACTGTATGAGTGAAGCAAGTAGACAGGAATGGCCAGTGAGAAGGCGAAACCACCGACAGTATAATTTGTTCAAGTGTTGGTTTGTAGGGGTTACAGGATTTCATCATGAGCTGACATTGGTTAGAGAACCATTGGAAAACCTGCAGCGAGTACTGGACAGCTGTTTCGTCCTAATTTGGGACTCTTCATCAGTGCGCACCCGCCGGGGTTCGAACCCAGGACCTTCTGGTTACAAGGCGAGCTCGTATACCATTAAGCCACTGGGACCCGATCCAATGGCCCATGAATTCTAACTTCTGCCAATTCACGGCATAGCGCGACCCCTAGCCAATATCTTTGGCGAGTATTTGTCCTCACACCCGACCTGCTGCATTCTACTGGTCACGACTTCTCACTAGAACCCCAGGTAACTACCTACCTGGATAGGGCAAGTCGCAATTGAGCATCTCGTTGATATTCAAGTGTTGGTTTGTAGGGATTTGATTGGTTACAGGTTTTCCAATGGTTCTCTAACTAATGTTACCTAATGATGAAATCCAGTATATTTTGTAGTTACATATATTTACACATGAGTCGTTTTAAACAAAAATCATGTACAATGTCTTTAATTTCAACAACTAACAAAAAGTGCACAATCATATTGTTGAGTACTCGACACAGTTTGTGCAGAATAGGACGATACCATCACATATTTCACTTGTTTCTCTACATCTGTGCAAAACTTGATGAAATCTTCAAGTTCATGTTACATGATGTCAGTTGCAGGAGGCTCCAGACTTAATCACACTTATATAGTTTCCAACCAGAGTTGAAGTCAGTGTGAGCATTTGTTCCTTTGAGACGTAGCCTTTCTGGCAGATGCCCATTCATCCTTTCAACAGATTCAAAAATGTCTTTAACACTGTGTTCTGCCAAATCAGTGTGTGGAGGCTATGAGAGTTTGACTAACCATTCGTCTATCGCATGCTTTCATCAGTTTAACATACTTAGTACTGGTCGAATGAGAAAATCACTTTTCTGCACTTTTGGTGAATCATATGTTCTAGTTGTGAACATACCAGTCGGGTTCAGTGATCTACACAAACTTTGTGAGATACAATCCTGTTCTTTCAATCGTTTCAGTGATTCAACGAACTGTTTCTCAATCATTCCAAACTGACCAAATCAAGATGAAGTTGTTTTCGGGTCTTAGATGTTCATTAGAAATGGTATTCATCTTCTTGAAGTAATCCATTTTGTTCATAATTACCACTGCTAGACCCTCACTAGGCTTTATAATTAGTACACTCTCGTTTCCTCAGAGATTATTAAGGGATTCCATGTGCTTTCGGTCAAAATATTACCAGAATTATGCTGCTTATTCGTATATTTATAATGATGTAGTGACCCGTTTTATTAATCATCATCGCAGTATACTTTCACTATGTAATTGGACTTTGACTTGTTTATTACTCTAAATCTTGCATGTCAATAATTGATACTTTTTGTGCTCGCTCGATTTTTGAATTTTGATTGCTGCAATAATACACTATCGTATTCCTTCGCAAGTGCCTTTTGAATTACGTTGTGGACGTCGAGTAATCACAACGTTAGCACACAATTATAAACGCGAGGAAGTACTAGAATATACGTGTACTCTAGTTTAGTCAAAATATAGCAGCACAACAATGAAAACCGACCAGTGTCGACCTCAGACCTTCAACGGCCTTCAATGATGAATCTATCAAGTTTTCAGATTGTGTGCAGCAATTTTCGAACCGGACTTGCATATTCATTTTATTGCTTCTAAAATGACAGTTACAAAACGTGGGGCTAATTCATGAAACTTGCGAATCTGTTTCAAAAAGACTGTTGTGCAATTTAGTTAATTATGCTGTGAGATACTCTGCAGGAGTCCACAACTTGAACAATACTCTGAACATATGAGACAAGGTTGATGAACAAATTATCTGAAGGCCATGTATATATCACAAACCTGGATATGTAGAATTTAACAAACACTTCCTCCCTACCTAATCTGAGTATCATCCACATTACATTCCATCTTGCAAATCAGTTTGTCATCAAAGCGAATGTGCACCCAGTTAATGTTCACACATAAAGCTCATTCAGGTGGCGAGAAACTGAAGTTGAAGGAAGAAGAGCTTACTCTTGTTTATTCTTTCATATTTGTATATCGTCCTCAGATTTTGCTTTTAGAAGTATTTCTATCAGATTAGAATTAGGAGTTAATTCACTCCAGTGATTGTCTGTGTTGATTCATTAAAAGTCTACTGAAGTATTTCGTAACATATGTATAGAAAAGTCAACATCAATATCCCAAATACTCCATCATAACTCAGGAATTTCCTTGTCTTCAAAAGGTCAGATTTTGTCACCTGCCACTAAGGTCCTGGGTTCGAACGTTCGTGCGAGTGTACTGAAGAAGAGTCCCAAATTCGGACGGAACGGTTGGCCAGTACCAACAGGTTTTTCAGTGACTTTCTAACCAATGTCAGTTCATGATGAAATCCTGTAACCAATCAAATCAAATCGGTGCAGTACAAAGCTGACAATTAGTGTTGGTTGTTGAAAACCACCAGTGTAAGACTCCTCCTGTGTATATGAATTATGGTCTACAGGAAGTGAAGCTATTGCATTCATGGAGGAGATAGCTACGACTGAAAGAGATTTTACTGGAGGGACACTGACAGTTTCACTAATCGATCACACAACTCAGGCAACGGAGAACAACATGAAAGAAAGCATCCATTACAACTACAAATTATTTAGATTCTCCTTGTTAGTAGATTCACATTATTAGTGCAACATATCTGTACGCAAACATTCTGGCCTCATCTACAAAACTCCAAAATATTATTGGAAAAATGCAGTTTCCAATTAAAAACACACATCACGAAGGCGTAATGAACACAAACCCATTAAGCGATTTGCCACTTATCATACACACCAACTAAATAACTAGTAAAGTCAACAAATGTAATTAAACACCACAGTGTGTGAAGAACAAACAATCATGTTTACAAGTTTTGTTTACCCACAGCCTGAAGATTGTGCTCAATTGTTATTCACTCATCTCATCTCAGATTTATTTACACATGTAAATTATATAAATCTGAATTCATTCGTATATGCACGTTCACGATTTCATTCACACTCAATATCAACTAGTTGAGTAACATCTTCACAGAATATACACTGGAACAAGTCATCATCATGAAATATAGATATGTGCTAATATCGGATGGAGTGAAATCATCTTGTCGACTGATTCACAGGTTAATACTGCGTCGCACGAAATCGCTGACAGTGAGAATAATCTGTGCGTTCCTCATCATACTTACCGTTGTCTCGTTGACAGCAATAGGCTATTTCAGAAAATATCGAGGTCATTTGCATTCATTGTTGAGGGAGTATAATGATGAGGATCAGCCGATTTGTCAATATGTGTTTCGTGGGAATCTGAGTTGGATGGATTACAGGGTGTTGAACAAGATCCGACTGACGGAGAATGGTGGTTATGGGAATCTAACGAATCGCCACACATGTGAGGAGTTCAAATTGATCCATCGTCAGACTGTGGAGTGTTCTGAGGAGGAGAAGGAATTTCCACTGGCATTCAGTTTGGCTGTTCATGAGAACATTCGACCCGTATCTCGTCTTCTTCGTTTGATATACAGACCACACAATCTGTACTGCATTCACGTCGACTCGAAATCGCCACAGGTATTCTATGATGAGGTAATGGCGTTGGCCAACTGTTTTGGTGGCAATGTGATTGTGGTGAACCGATCGGAGAGTGTTGTCGTTAGATGGGGTCACTATTCTATTCTCGAAGTGTTTCTTCTGTGTGCGGACAAGTTGATGCGAAATGATCAAGTGAAGTGGAAATACATTCTGAATGTGAGTGGACAGGAACTGCCGTTAAGAACGAATTGGGAGTTGGTTGCTGCATTGAAGGCGATAAACGGTTGGAATATCGTTGAGAACTTGGGTTCCAAGGATAATCGTGGTAGATGGCCTAATCGGAATTTCAGCTTTCCTGTAAGTCAGTTTTACTTCTTCCGTTATAATCGATGTTTTTATTTCCAAGTGAGTATCACAAGTGAATGAACATTTCATATCCTTCTTCTTTAGCAGTCACACTTTTGTTCGCTCCACATATATCTCATTCTGGCCTACATGTATATCGCTTTTTGAATCCATTCCCTAGCTTAATTGTTTTCATTCACCTTTCTTCGTACTTCAAACGACGTGGGTAGTTATTAGGATGTTTTCACTTTAAGGCTCTGAATTTCTCACCGCTGAAATGGTTTTTTAAAGACAAGTTAATTTACAGGATTTTCATCATGAGCTGACATTAGTTAGAGAACCATTGGAAAACCACCTGGGAGTACTGGACAGCTGTTTCGTCCTAATTTGGGACTCTTCAACAGTACTCACCCACCGCCAAGGTTCGAACCCAGGACCTTCTGGTTACAAGGCTAGCGAGCTCGTATACCGTTAAGCCACTGGGACCCGATCCAATGGCCAGCCCATGAATTCTAACTTCTGCCAATTCACGACATAGCGCGACCCCTAGCCAATATCTTTGGCGAGTATTGGTCCTCACACCCGACCTGCTACACTCTACTGGTCACGACTTCCTACTGGAACCCCAGGTAACTGCCTACCTGAATAGGGCAAGTTGCTAGTGAATATCAATGAGATGCTCACTAGCGACTTGCCCTATTCAGGTAGGTAGTTAATAATAATAATAATCTACTTTATTCCAAAAACAGTACTTATAATACAGAATGGAATTCTCAGCATTCGTCACAATATTGCATTTGATTTACTCAAAATATAAATAAAATTAAAAATTAAAACGAAATTAACCGGAGGAAATTGTTCACATTTACGATATGAAGTCAAAAATATTCGAAGCACGAATTGAGATTATTAAATATAATAATAATAATAACAACAGTGAGTTTGTTTCAAACGGTATTGTCGATTCAGTTTGGAAACTTTAGCATGTTATAGATTATTGGATCTAATGTTCTGTTGATATAGTATAGTGAGGGGAAACACAAAATTAACAGTCATAATGCAGCTTAAATTATGTCCATACTTATGAAAAATAAATAAATAAACAAAACAAAAGATTGAGAGGATTATAAGTATAAGTAATACAATAACAACAAAGTTTGCTGTTGTGAGGGTGGGGGAAATGGATTATTTAGTGGTGCAAAGAAGGTTGGTTAGTTCATGCCTAACACTATTTTCATCACAAAAAGTACTTCCCTGGGGTTCTAGTAAGAAGTCGTGACCAGTAGGATGCAGCAGGTCGGCTGTGAGGACCAATACTCGCCAAAGATATTGGCTAGGGGTCGCGCTATGTCGTGAATTGGCAGAAGTTAGAATTCATGGGCTGGCCATTGGATCGGGTCCCAGTGGCTTAATGGTATACGAGCTCGCTAGCCTTGTAACCAGAAGGTCCTGGGTTCGAACCTTGGCGGTGGGTGAGTACTGCTGAAGAGTCCCAAACTAGGACGAAACAGCTGTCCAGTACTCCCAGGTGGTTTTCCAATGGTTCTCTAACTAATGTCAGATCATGATAAAATCGTGTAACCAATCAACCAAATCCCTACAAACTAACACTTGAATTACGATTCAATTTAATTTTTTCAACAGAGATTAGTTAGAATCCAAGTCAACTATTCAGCATAATTTGCTCTCAGTATCATCTGGCTGAACTGATAATTTGCCTTAAACAATGAATATTCTGTGTTATTGTCAAAGAACTTGACAGATGTAGATGTTCATAGTGAGAATGTAGATAGATTGGAAATGATCAGATCTATAAAATTGGGAGTGCCACAGCTAAGGCTTCACTGGATTATGTCCTCTTGATCGCATCTAGTGGAAATAATACAATAATAACATTGGGCTCCACATCGATCCAACTCATTCCTAATTAAAATTAATCAAAAAAATATGCAGTTGTCATAAAATTATTCTTGACTTCCGGTGAAATGTATTCGCAAGGGGTGAAGGTGTTTCCAGCTATCGATCGACTCAGTGACTGTTGACTTCTGCTGAAGATTCGCGTATCGCCAACTGATTAAACAAGTAACTGACAGAAGTTTCACGCAATCAGCAGATTAGACGAGTCACTTGCAGAAATTATTCTCACCGAAGAATAGTTTGTTCTAGAAGTGAGTTTCATGAAAACAATGAACATCATAATCCCAATGTCAAGGTGATATGACTGTGAGCGAAAATCCTGCTCGGAACGTCATCAGCAATAAATGCTGTAAAGCAGTGTGAAAATGTTTCTCAAATAAGTCTACTCTGTATATATATATATATATATATATACATCCTGAAACATTAAGCAGTTTCTATCCATGCATTACAATTTGCTGTATTAATAAGAAGTCTGTAGTACACCTTGTAGCGGTAAATAATTCCCTAAAATTATTGACCACAGCAATCATCACTCAACACTGGATGCTGACCCTCACTGTTTAAGTCGACTTGTTTAGCTGAAGGCTTCCGGTCAAGCATCCCCGCTATTTGGTACTCCGTCGTGTCACGTGCGTGTACGATAACTAGCCAGCTAAGCATTCACTTCAACCCGCGATTTGGTCCCGAAATATATTACGTACTTTGGACAACCAAATCTGGTCTTTTGCTTTATCTTTGGTGCTCGAAGAGCGAACACTATAGAAGTTGTTGGTATAAGATCTTGCGTTAGTATACTCCGTACAGTTCGCGAACGTCGATACCTTCAACCTCCAAAACCTCATCATGAAAATCTGTTGAAATAATGAAGATTCGTAGCTCACGTAGATGGTTGCGATGTCACTGTGATTAATAGAGGAGCTTTCTTTGTCGTTCTAAATGGAATTCCGCGTTGTATACTCAAAAAATTTGAGAGATAGAAGACTAGATTGTCCGCTTACAATGTCATCATCTCATTGCCATTCGAAGAAGTTCAATTTCGTCAGTTTACAGCATACGACAACTGTCATTCAGAGCCATTGATGAGTAACTAACTGTCTTTCTATCGGGTGTGAGTAATGGACATAAATTTCTCTGAGTGAGCATAAGAATTTGTAAGCAGTGATGTACTATCCACTTCAGTTTGAGGATAGTTCATCGCCAACGACACTGAATGTTGATGAAACTGAAAAGCTTTGGAAAAGAAACCCTATGGAACTGTAGGTTAAACATTCTAAAGTCTGAACGCAATGACCATACTTCATAATGAGGTAATGAATTTGTGGTATTGACGAATTTGAAACTGGAGAAAAACAGTTCTCTATTGTCTTAAATTCTCAAGCTTATATAGACTGGATTTTTATGCAGAAAATTGTGATAGGTGAGTGGAAACAACTCAAATTTTTAGAATATAAATATATTTAAATATGTATATACATGATTTTAAATTCATAAAATTATCTGGGCTGAATGAATACAGTAATCTGCACTCATATCATTGGTATTTTAGATACATTGGAGCAAAGGCAGCTTCTACATGGCACTCAGTCGAAGTTTTGTCAATTTCTACCAAACGGATTCTAAAGCTCGTGAAATACTCAGTGCAATGAAGGCTGAAAGACATTTGATGAAACATCCAGATGAACTTTACTTTCCAACGTTGGTGTACAATCCTTCACTTGGTGCCCCTGGAGCCTGTAAAGAATTCTACCTGTCCAGTAAATCAGATCCACGGGCCCGATATATAGGAAGATATGTGAGATGGGGTCATGAACGTTGTATCTCAGGGAAAAGCGCTCATGGTGTGTGTCTAATTGGATTATACCTTTCTCAATTTATACCAACTCGAATGGAATTCTTCGCCAATAAATTTCGTGAAGAATTTCAACCGATCGCCTACGACTGTACAGAACATTATGTGATGCAGAAGATTTTGAGAGAGATGAGGACGAAACAACTGGATCCCAATTTCAATGTAACGTTTTATTCACAACTTTATTGTTCACAGTATCAACTAAATTGAAGATGATTCTGTTGACGTATTTGAATGGATGTACACACTGTTTGTCGCATAATATTTACATAAAATAATATTAAGTTTTATCAACCCTGTTCTGTAAATAAAGTGTATGCTTACTTCCATATTGTCTCCACTATTGGTGCATACTATAAGTATTGGTTTTGTAGGGATTTTGTTTGATTGCATGGAGGATTTCATCATGAGCTGACATTAGTCAGAGAACCACTGGAAAACCTGAGAGTACTGGACAGCTGTTTCGTCCTAGTTTGGGACTCTTCAGCAGTACGCACCCACCGGGATTCGAACCCAGGACCTTCTGGTTACAAGGCAAACTCGTAGACCATTAAGCCACTGGGACCCGATCCAATGGTCCTTGAATTCTAACTTCTGCCTTGGATCGGGTCCCAGTGGCTCAATGGTCTACGAGCTCGCCTTGTAACCAGAAGGTCCTGGGTTCGAATCCCGGTGGGTGCGTATAGCCGAAGAGTCCCAAACTAGGACGAAACAGCTGTCCAGTACTCCCAGGTTTTCCAGTGGTTCTCTAACTGATGTCAGCTCATGATGAAATCCTCCATGCATACTATAAGACCTGAGGATTTCATTTCACTGGAATTCATATTCTGACCGTAAAAACACTTACAAGTTCCCAGTTCGATCACACTTGCCACTTGAGATAATTGTATACGCATCCTAACAGCTACTACATACAGTTTTTATCCAACAGACTGCACACTTGATATAATTAGTTGTATTTAACATTCTCAGTGATTTGGAGCATACTCAGCTTGTTAGGCTAGATATGTATGTCAGTCATTCTGCTGTCCATTTTTAGTATTCTAGCGAAAGCCTTAGATAATCTTACTTACTAAAGTGCATGTGTATATCAACCCTCTATAAAGATATGAGTTTCATAAGTGATAATATGCTGCCATAATAACCCGTTGTGACAGTGAAACTGGAATCGCGAAAAACTGAGTAGGTGTTCACCCTATCCCAGCTATGAAGTAGTCTTTGCGGTACAATCAGCAGCTCGTAATATAATTTACATTGATACGATGATTAGGAATAGCTTTCTTAGATGGATGACCGTGTAGCTATCGACACTTTATCAACCTTTTCTCTGATGATACGAATGTCAACATAATTATCAATCAGAACTACACACATTCAGTGTATTCAGTGTATTGATTTTTGACTTATGCTTCTGTCGCATGTCCTCATTATGTAAGTTCAAAGGAGTCTCGATGCATTACATAATAGTTGGACAGAATAGTCGTTGCTTTTGATCGACACTACTAAACATCAGGTGTTATTAAAAAGACAATTGCAGCGAAGAAAATTTTCTTTTCGACGAAGTCATCATCTAGGCTGTACATTCGTGTATTTATATCAAATGAATGGGAAAGTTCCAGAATAATTTCCGGTTAAGGGTCAAATTAATAAAAATTACAATTAGGAATTAGAATGCCATAATAAACAGGGGGACGGATAAAACTCGAACAAAGTAGCATTATAATAACTAAGAAGATTGACATTATGCAATTAGGGGTTAGAAATGTAGAAATAACAAAATATACAGGATGTTTCGATAAAAAACTAATGTGATGAATAATTGTTTATGCAATCAGGGATTAAATATTTAGAAATAGTAAAATGACAAAATAAACAGGAAGAGTGGATATGAAAATATGGTAGTGTAGACAGGGATTAAGAAAACTTAAAATAACATGAATAAACAGGAAGTTTAGATAAGAAGGGTGATGAGATTGTCATTATTAAAATTTTCTTTTACCTGTTTATGATGGCCATGGCAGGGACAGGGGTTTGACGTAATTCTTTTGGATACAAAGGGTGGGTTTGAGCTTTTGGATAGCTAGCACCTCAGCTATGCCCAGATGTCTTGATTTAACTCCCTTTGATAAGTTTGATTGAATTTTATATATTACTTTGAAGGATTTTTCGAAAGGCGCTGAATGTCCTGAGTTGACCAGATGCTCTGTCACTGAACTGTATATACGTTTTTGGTCTCCTTTAACTAGCCATCATCAGGTGTTTTAATGAATGAAGTAGGAATTTTATCACTAATATATATGTACTTACTGAGCTAAGAAAACTTAGAAGAATCGAAATACGCATATCACAATAACATGACACTAGATAAAATTCTTAAACAGTTACCTAATCCTTTAATTGTTTATTCCAAGAAAGAGAAGGAAATCTCCGGCCTCCTAGAAGTCCCATTATTATATACTGTAAGACCTGAAACTAAAGCATTCCGGTCTGATTAATACAAGGGAACAATCGATGCGATCTTCTGTAGGGGTGACCGAACTTACTCCAGTGGCTCACAGTCTGAAAATGTCCCGAAAGTAGGAAAAACACAGTGATGGGCTTTCAGGTGGAATACAGAGTTTCAGCGGTACATATTCTAGATACGTAAAAAGGTTGACAGAACACCTTTAAAAAAGCTAAACGTAACATCTAAAATGATCACAACATTCCTCCAGGCCTGTAATGAGAAATCAACTAACTAAGGAAATCCAAAGCATAATTGACTGCCTCCGTTCTACCTACACAAGTATACTGAAACGAAAGAGTAGCACGTTTCATTTGTGATAGCGCATGTATCCTCACCTACAGTTGATGTGAGTAAATACGCATTATTTTTAATACCGCATTTAGATAAAAATATATAATTATCTATGTTATTATTATTGTTCCCTTAGGTTCCTAGTGGAACATAGGGCTTTAACTACACGCCTCCACTTGCTTCTTTATTCTGCTGTACTTTTCACCTGCGTCCATGTTAATCCATACTGTTTCAATTCCTCTTCACACGATCTCCTCCATGTCACCCTTGCAATGACGTCCCACTCGCCGCTTCCCTTTCGGGTTCCAATCGAGCACTGGACTGACGCGAGATGTCACCCAACGGCCTCCTCAGCGAGTGTCCAATCCATCTCCACTTTCTCCTGCATATTTGTTGAGCGATTGGTTCTTGTTTTGTTTGTTCCCATAGTTTCTTGTTGGTTCTTGTTCTTTCCGGCTATCCGATCTTGAGTATAGAGCCAGCGGAGACAGTTGTTGATAAAGGTCTGCAACAGGCTGTTGGAAATATTCTTTCTGACACACTGGCCAAGTTTCTCATCCGTATAGAAGAACTGACTGACTTGACGTCGTTTGTATTGAAAATCCGAATCAATTTGTTGTTGATGCAGGCTGAGTGACAAAGATTTCCAGATTGGTTGGTTTCAGGTTGATGAATGTGTTTCTCGCCTTCCCGATTCTCGCTCGATTTGACATCCTCGTCCGTTCCTCGTGTAGTTGAGGCAATGCTCCCTAGATAAGTGAATGAGGTAACCTCTTTCAAATCCCTCCCGTTGATGGTGATTGGCGGTGGATGTTGCTGCTCTTGTTGTTGTTGTTGTTGGTTGGTTATTTTCATAACCTCCGTCTTGTCTATGTTCACCCGGACTCCTATCTTTTCTGCTTCGTCGATCAATTTGTCGGTAGGAGTAAGGGTTGGGTTATACCAGAATGTTTTAACTTCTTAATGTAGAGGGTAAGATGGAATATTTTCTTAGGAATCTCCAAGATATGAGACGACCAGGAGAGATGAGCAGAGAGAATGACGCCTAGGTATTTATACTGGAATTAATCCAAATTTCCACGAAATCCATAATCTGCATTTCATATTTATTTACCTAAAGAGTGTGAATACATTTCACATTAGAATACAGAAGACAATAGACATGAGGCTGATTGTATTTATTTTTAGGAATTTTCTAAATAAAGATCATATAATGAATGGTATAGAGTGAATACTACTTACAGTAATCAGCAACACATGCACAGCGTTAGAGTGTAATTTCAAGATCTTTGTCAAACAGATAATACATTCGGACAGGATTATTAGAAGACGAAGTCTATCTGGAAAGTGGGACATTTTTGAGAAATACATTTTGAAAAGTATGATCCAAGTTTACTTGCCAATTCAGTTTATATGAAAAATAAAAGGTCAATCGAAGTAATCATTATGAGAGGGAACCTAAGAATTTGACGGATATCAAGAAACACTGTTTTTGTTAATAGAATCAGATAAATATTAACAATGTAAATTAAAGATGATATTAATTTGTTTTTATAGACACAAGGGGGGAGGGATTAATTATATAGACAGCTATCTCCTCAGTGTATTTCAGCAAACGCCCCCGGCGGATTTTATAGATATTCTTGAAATCTGTTTTAGTATCAACCTTGTGAATTACATTAACAGCTTGTTTTGCTATAGATGAAGTCAGTAGTCTGCTAAATGTGTTTGCTGAGGTTTCAGAGTTCAGTTATTTTTCAAGCCATTTAGCTAAATGTTGTCGCGTCTTCAAGTGCAAAGCGCGATTGCTCCCCCGTTTGTATGTGTTAAAACACAGTTAAATTGGTGTAATATTATTCCTTCCTACGGTGTCACGGGGAACACAGGGCTTCAACAGAACACTTTGTCCTATTCTCTATGATCATCTCTAATTGATCCCACGAATGCTGATGAGCGCTCATCTCCTCTTCTCTTGATCTCTTCCATGTCGTCGGTGGACTCGTCGTTCCCCACTAGGATTCCGCTCGTAATTTTGCCTGTCACGCGATGTCATTCGACGATCTTCTCAGCGTATGTCCAATAGATTTCCATTTTCTTCAGGATGTATTTCATTGGTTCATTCTCGGAGTTTCTTGGTTTACAAGATGGGATGTAAAATTGTGGTGAGAGCTGGATGCTAGCCAAAGTTGGTAGACAGTAATTGACGTCAATGTTTATGTCCCCAATATTGGTGGTAAGAAAATGAGAACAAAGGCTTTGCGTAGGCGGGCGGATACAGTTAGCATATGGATGATCTGACACAGCCGCAAAGAGAAGCAAGGTTAACTTTCTGTTAGAAACAACCAATCAAAAGACTCTATTTTCTACTAAAACTAATCTACAATAATGAATATTTAAATCTATAAATATGTGTTGGTTTTCCATAATAAACGATCTGTTGCCTGACCCTTGTCTTCTGTTGTTACAAAATAATCACATTATTTTGCTTATTTTAATTAT